TTTCTTGTGGTCTAAACGCGCGTTATATTTTAGCTTCTTCTTCCAGCGAGTACTCGCAGGCCAACCCGGCCTCCTGGCAGATAGTGACAAGCAGCGGTCGATTGCGCTGCCAGATGCCTTGTTTGAGCAGTACGACCTGTTGGAGTGCCGGTGTTTCATGGGGCTGTTTCCAGAGATCCAGCGGGCGTGGATTACAGTGGACCACCGGCTGTTTCTGTGGAACTACGAGGACGAGTCGGACTTTTACTCGTTCGAGGACCAGGAGCAGATAATTGTCAGTGTGGCGCTGGTGAAGCCCAAGCCGGGTGTGTTTATCGACTCGATAAAGTACGTGTTGGCGGTGGCGACGCCGCTGGAGGTGTTTCTGCTGGGCATTAAATACGAGGAAGCGGGACGCGGCGGCTCCGTATCGCTGTTTGCGACGCAGATTAGCGTGCCGGCCGACAGCGTGGCGATGACCAGCATGGTGGGCACAGAGGCAGGGCGGATTTCATGGCAGGCAATGACGGCGGGCTGTACGAGTTCGAGTACCAGGCCGAGGACAGCTGGCTGCGGCGGCGCTCGAAGAAGGTCAATCTGACGGCCAGCGTGGGGTCATATTTCCTGCCATCGTTCTGGCACATGCACCACGAGAAGCCGGCGCTCAGCATGGCGGTGGACAATGAGCGGCATCTATTGTATGTGCTGCTGCAGGACGCGTCAATCAAGGTGTTCTGGCTGGGCCATAATGGCGGGGAGTTTGTGCTGGCGCACCACCACAAGACGGTGGGCAATGCAGCGGCGCTGCTGTGCCACAGATCAACGAGGGCCGCGAGCTGGAGGTGGTGTCGATGCACGTGATTCCTACCAGCGAGTCGCGCGCCATCCATCTGGTGGCGGTGACGGCCGGTGGCTCACGGCTGTACTTTTCGACGCTGCCGCGCGTGCAGTGGTACAGCGCAAATGTGCAGATGCCCGCGGTGTTTGATCTGGTGCACGTGCGGCTGCCGCCCGACAGCCGGCCAGTGGCCATGCAGCTACCGCATCTGCGGGCGCCCACGCTTTCTGTGCACTGCTCATTGTATAGCCACGGGACGGTTCTTTTAGCCCACGAGCTCAACGACGACCACGACGCGATCCTGGCCGGGGCGCCGGACTGCGCTTTGGCGTTGCGGCGCCAGGTGACGCAGCCACGGCAGATTCTGTGCGAGTTTGCGGCCGAGTCGCGGATCGAGGGCCGCACATGGGCGATGGCCGAGCTGGCGGGCGACGAAAACACGAATGATCTGGCCACGGTCTCGGGCATCCCAACGCGTCATTTCGCGGTGCTCACCAATGCTGGCGTCAGCGTGCTGGCGAAGCAGCGGCCCGTAGATATGTTCCGGGCGCTGATTACGCAGCCGGCGCTGCCCGAGGCGCAGCTGAAGCAGTTTCGTTGATGCGTTTGGTCTGGCCGAGGTCTGCGCCATGTGCTTTACCATTCTGTGCACTGACGATTTCACACAGACCAGCGCCCAGGCCGTGACTGCAGCGCGTCGTATGCTGTTCGAGTTTGGCGGCATCCCGCGCTACGCCGAAACGAAGCTCTTGTTTGAAACCCCCACGGCTCCAACAGTTCCATTGTCGGAACAGCCGCAGCGCAGCGCAAAATCGAGCTGAGCGGGCGCCACGACGGGCTGGTGATCTATGTCTCGCGCATCCTGCAGCCCGTGTGGCAGGAGCTGGCCACAGTCCTGCGGAAGGATGCCATGAACAAGCACCATGTGGAAATCGGCATTGGCGCTGCGCGGCTTCTGGGCGTGCAGCAAAGACTACAGAGGCCTGCAACATTTCCTGACCACCAACCAGCGGTTCGTCCCGGATCAGATCAACCAGCTGGCCGAGTCCCTGCAGCAGACGCCCGAGGGCAATGTCAGTGCGTGCTGGCAAGCCGAGGCCCAGTCCCTGGCGTCCCTGTATGATCTGGTGGTGCTGGCCATCGAGACCATCTCGCTTTTGAGCCTGATCCAGGACTTTTGATCTGCCGAGGATTAGCGCCGAGGCCATGAGCTCCGAAAAGCGCTCGGAGCTCAGCAACCTGAAGTTCCACACCCTGGTGTGCACCAAGGGCGGCCGGGAGGCGTGCCGTGCATTGATTGTGGCAGTGATCAATGCCCAGATCAAGCAGCATTCCAGCATCGCCAGCATCAGCGATGCACTGCGCTTGCGCTGCGCCAGCATCTTCTCTGCCCAGGACGTCTCCCTATACAAGGCCATGGAGCTGCTGAATCTGGCGTCGGAGGCGAGCGAGCCGGCAGAGCAGCGCGAGCTGGCTAATAATGCGTTGGAGCTTTTGCGCGATATCTCGGGCACTTTGGTTCTGGACAATGTCCGGTATGTGTTTGGACGGTTTGTCAAGCTCGATATGCGTGCGCAGGCCGTCGATTTGGCATTGATGTGCGCCAAGGGCGTGGACCCGAAAGACCAGGCCCTGGCGTTCTGGCGCGACCGGGCGCCTGCCAACGACAAGCGCCAAGAACTGTACGAGTTCCGCACCTCGTGCTACCAATTGGTTCTGGATGATCTTGCCGAGACCGCCAATGTCTCCATGCTGCGCCTTTTGCCTACGACGACGCGTTGTTCTGCTTCCGCCTGTACGACTGGCTGCTGGACCGCGGCCAGACCACCACCTTGTATGAACTGGGTGGACCGCTGCTGGAGGAGTATTTCGCGGTGGCCGACCAGCGCGACATGCTCTGGCACCTGTACGTGCACGAGGGCCGGTTTGCCATGGCGCCGTGGTGCAGCGCGACTTGGCGTGTCAGCCCGGCGATCTAAAGCTGGCTAGACGCATCGAGTACCTGTCGTTGGCTATCAGCAATGTGAAGATTGCCATTGACCAGATGGAAAGGACGACGAGGCCTCCGACCAGCTCGCGCGTGTTTTGCGCGAGACCGAAGACATGCTGGAGGTTGCCCAGACGCAGATGGAGCTGCAGCGTCTGGCACAAAGCCACACGGAGGTGGCCAAGAGACTGGACCGGCAGCTGTATGACGTCAGTGCCTTGTACCAGGACTTTGCCGAGCCCCTGCAGCTGCCCGAGGCCAAGCTGCTGATCTTCAAGGTCTCGTGTCATGATGACCCGGAGCAGGTCGCCGAGGTCTGGGAGGAGCTTTTGCGGAGCACATTGTCCGACCCGCTGCGCACCGGGCTGATGGCCGTGGCTGCAAAGATCTCGGAGCTGGTCCCCCGCCTGCTGCTCGTCTAGTGCAGTGCCGGTGAATGGGCTTGTCGCGGTTCTGGTTAGGCTGGCGAACGAGCGGCCGGCGGAGTATGTGCCGGGCTATATCTGCGACTCTCTGGTGTTGGCGGGCGTGCCGTACCAGGCGGTGTTTGAGTCGCTGGTGCGCGTGCATCGCAGATTGGCTGGCGACCCGAGCCTGGCTGAGATGCTGGTGCGCGAGGTCGTGTATCTGGCCGGGGCCTGGCTTGCCAGCGCCGGTGAGGATGTGCCGACTATGTATGTGGATGAGGTCATCAAGCCAGTACATTGTCCAGGCGAATGTTGCCAAGAACCAGGCCTGCAGAGCGACTTGCTCAAGGCGCAGGAGAAGGTCCGCCAGGTGCTTTGAAGGGTAATTTTTAACATATAAATCGATTTTGTGCTTTTGGCTTTTTGGTATCTACGAAGAAAGAAGGTTATGGCCTTGCTACAGACTCAGGTATCGTCCGAGTCATCGCCGTAGTCGATCATGTCCTCCAGGTCCACCGTCGGCCGCCGGCTGAACATGGGCAGCTCTGGCGACGTGGGAGTAACCGGATCCATGCGTCCTGCCTCCAGCGGCCGCGAGACAACAATCACCGGTCGTGGCACAACGCCAGCGGTCCGCATGCGCGGCGACCTCTGCTGCCTCATCTCCTGGTCCCCACACGCACTTTGCGGCCGCCTATCATACCTGCTGCGCCCGTGTCTGCTAACCGCCCTTCCCTGCTGCCAATACTGCCGCTGTCTACTGTACTCCGGCGACATCGACCGGTCATCGGGCGGCGTCAGTGGCGCCAGAACCCGTCGCGGCGCATCGAACCTGGGTGGGTCGTAGTCGTCCATGGGCGGTGTCTTGGCGCGCCTGTGCTTTGGCCGCTCCACCGGCGGCTCCATCGGCATATGCCAGAGCTCCTCCAGATCCTCGTCCATGTCCGGCAGGCTCTCGGCCGTCACCGCAAACTCCTTGGGCAATGGCACTGGCTTCTCTGCCACCTGCTCCTTGGGCCGCAGGTCGCCGGCAGGAGGTTCTTGCAGCGCCTGATATCCGCGATCGTCGGCAGTGGCTGTGTGGATTTCGCAACTTGTCGCCTGATATTCCGGTTCGCTGGTGACCGGCTCCTGGGTCCTGGCCCGGGCTCTTTGTTGGTTGTGAAAGGGCTTCTATGCCGAGGCTCCCTTTCCGCTCTGAATGGGTTTCTATGCCGCAGTTCCCTGTCTGCTCTGAATGGGCTTCTATGCCGGAGTGCACGCATTGCTGATCGCCGGGGCTCTGCAGGTGTCCGGTTTCTGCTGGGATTCCATTGCCGTGCCATGGGTCCTGTGTTTGCCACGCTCAACTTCCGCGCTTGTCTTGCTGCAACTGCTGATTTGTCGGCCGCCTGTCGTGCCTCTCTTTGTGGCTCCTCTGGCCCTCTGGCTACCGCTCTTCTCTCCAAAACATGCTCCTCCCGCGCTGTCGATTCAGCCCTGGCTGGCTTGGTTCTTGATGGCTGAGCTTCTCCGACAACCTGTTGCTGCTTAGCCACCAGGACCTCACTTTTGGCCTGTTTTTGCTCCTTGGCCGGCAACTTTTCTCTAGCCGCCTTGCATTCTTTGACTGGCGAATTCACTCTACCTGACCTTGTCTCTTTCGCCACTGGCAGTTCAGCTACCTGCACTGCATTTGCCTGGATTCGTTGTGTCGCCCACAGATTCTGACTTGGCCTTGGCGACGGTATTGGCCCGAGTCGGTCCCTAATACTGCCCTTTTTCTGCACCCCACTGCGAATTCTGTTCCCTGGCCCGCCAGCCCTGCGGATCCATGGTACCACGAGCCGCTAGACGCAATGGCTGCGGACCAAGCCGGTTCGAAATGCTGCTGCGCTTGACTGCTGGCGGCTGCCGGCGATATACTGGCAGATATTGTGGCTGGGCTGGTTCCTGTGGTGGTTCCTGTGGTGGTTCCTGGGGCGGTTCCTGGGGCGGTTCTTGCGGTTGTGCAGCAGGAACTGCATGTGGCACTGGGGGAATGAGTGGCAACGGCAGCATGGCCGATGGTATTGGCGGCAGGTCCACAGGCATTGGCCGAACCAGGCCGCCTGCAGTCATGCCCGGCTGCGAAACGAGCACCGGCACCAGATCGTGGGAGCCAATACATGGCGGCGCCCCGACAGCCGTCAGATTGTCGCCCGGTGTGCTTCCCACACCAACTCGCACTACTGGTGCTCCGGGCGTGTCACCCGCCTGCTCCGTGTTCATCCGGTGGCTTGCTCTGCGGATCTCAACTGTCGCCTCCATCCCCATTTCCCGCGCCAGGCTCTGCATTTCCAGTCCTAGCACTGACCGCAGTGCCTCCTTGTAGGCGTCCTCCATTTGCTGCCCAAAGAAGCTGCGCCGCTGCATAGCCGTCGCGCCCACCTCGGCAATCGTTGGCAGACGCTCGGCAAACGTCTCCAGGGGCTGCTCCGCTTGCCGGATGCGCTGCTGCACTGTCTGCCGAGAGATGTTAGACTGCTTGCGTTTCTGCCATGCCTGATGCTGCCGCTTGCCGATCGCCTTACTGCTGCCGTTGAAGGCGCTGCCGGTGATCTGCCGATACCCCTGCTTAGCCCTCTTGTTGCTGTGCGCTGAACCGGCTATGGTGAGCGTGTCGCTGTGTCTACGCTTGTTGCTATGCTGGGTGCTACCACGGCCTGCAATTGATATTCCCTGCGTGCCCGCCGCCTTTATTTTGATTCCCAAAGCGCCCTTGTTCATACTTACTGAAGGAACCCCTTCTCTTTTGAATTATATGGTGAATAGAAAATGAAGGCTAGGTTAGTGAAATATTAGACAGTAATGTGATATGTGCAATAAGATGGCCAGGTGCAGTGGATATACGCAGAACAAGAAGAGGAAGAAAAACTAAAAGTATGGAAAGCCGGTCGAGGGGAGAGCTAGGCGGAAGGGAGTCAAGGGCGGGGAAACATTGGACAACTAAACGCTATATGGCGAGCAGAGATAAAGTGTTTTAAAAAAAGTCACTGCATACTACTTCAGCTTTGGTGTCGCACAGCTCTGGGAACTCTTTTTCCAAAACAATGCCCATTTACAATGGACAAACCCCCCTTCACAGGATGGGTGGAGTGGAGGAAGAAAAAAAAAAAGAAAAAAGGAGGCTGGTATTATGATTACAAGGCCTGAGATAAGAGGCGGCCCTCTGCCTGCATTGTAATCTCCATTCGCGAATACTCAGGACACCGCCCCCTCCCTCGTCGTCCCCTCATCCAACCTCATATACGGGCCAATTCATATTCTGTGCGTTAATTTGATGTGCCTTGTGATTGAAACACCACTACATTGATGCTAATACCGCCAGTATACTATTTATCTTCTATCCAGAATGCTGCATGCAGTGCATTGTACGCCAGTATTGGCTGCTAGACAGATGTGACTCGGTGTCACTATCCTCCGGCTATAGTGCGACATGCTACCTCACCGCATGCAACCAGCGTCAGCCATATGAGCCAGACCCGCATCCCCATCCTTAATTGCATCTCCCTCCCCTAGAAGGCAACCGCCACAAACCCCCATGCTCCCACAGCCACAGCCTTCTCGCATAAAACCCTCCAGAAATAGCGCCTGGTAGCCCAGGTCGTTCGTCTGAGCAGCATATTCATTGTCATACACGCAAAGTGTGCCTTTTAGACTTGGCAGCTAGCAGCAATGCTAGGGCTGTTTTGGGGAGGATTGCTCAAGAAGCCTCCGCTAACCCGTAGAGGAGAATACACGGACTGCATGGGTGGCTCAAATATGCATTCTAATTTCACGAACCAAACCGGTATTCTCCAAAACGCATAGTGATTAGTCAAAAATAGGTCAAGGACATGGTTGTATTCTCCCGTCTCTCCACTGCGTGCCCGGCAATCCCACCATCTCCAGACACCGCCTCCCAAAATGCCATGCAAAATGCCGGAGTCTTTATTCGCACGCCTAGCATGTGCATCAGCCGGACAACATACTGTGCCGTCGTTTAGTAGAACTGCTTCGACGTGAGAAGCCGCAAGGACTCGAGTTCCTGCAGATCAAGTAAAGGAAGTTTCCTAATATACACGCACTGTATTGACTGCATGTAAGTGGATGAGGGGTTGTGTACTTTTCGCGCATCTTCGTGGATGAGAGTTTCTCGTATACTTATTCTCTAACGGAGATTTGAGATCCTGGATTCCACATCTGTATTCAAGACTCCCCATCACTCCAATTCCTAGCAGCTTTGTTTTAGAATAACAATTTCATTGTCAATCAAAATGTGAGCAAAATTTAGTCCTACACCTTGTAACCATGGCTCCTATAAGCTGATATGACCAGCCATGCTGAAGGGAACATGTTCATATGCATGGGAGTCACCTAGTACAAATAGCAGGGATACTTATATCCGCTATACCATGGCCAGCTAGCACACACGCAGTACCCAACATCACCACACCCGCAGCGCTTGCGGAAGCTGGTAAAGGCATTGTTATTGCCATGCACGTTGTCGCACGCCTGGCATGCATTGGAATTGCTGGTATACAAGGCGTTCTCATTAGAGCTGCAGTGGCTGCAGGCACAGCCAACGTTGTTGTTGAATGCACTGGTGAACGGGACGCCCCAGCCGCCACCGCTTGCACCGCAGCGCTTGGTGGGCTTCGGCTGAGCAGTAGCTGGAGCGTTGTGGTGCACGGCTGCGACACTAGGATCAGCAACAGGCGTAGCTCTAGACGGAAGTGCAAATGTCGCAAGAGCAGCGAAAACAGCGGTCGGAGTAGCGGTGGAAAGCATGAAAATGAGAGTTGTGTTGATGATTGGAGTGATGATGGGGTTGTTGTTTGGAGCAGGCTGCTGAGTGACAAATGTAAATAAGCATGCTTGTCAGACTATATACAGCCCGACATTCCACCATGACTCAGAGGAAAGTGGTCCAGTTGGCATCCCAGATGTATCTATCATGGCACGATATTTTATTGGTGGCTCAGCCTGTATCATGTAGGTCAGATAAATAACTAATGGCAGACTGTATGCTGACTAGTAATGATGTTTCAAAAGTGCAGTGCCGCAGATACGTCGCTAGCACGAATTCAACCTTTCCGTGTGACCAATGGCGGTGAGGAAAGCTTGATTGGAACCAGTAGTGAACAGCTGGTGTGTGTATTTTTAATGTCTGCACCAGCTTGTAGTAGAAATCAATGCACTGCCCCTCTCCCCAAGTGCTTCTCCGCGAATATGCAGACAGTGCTGGTGATATTCATGAGAATCCAAAATTAGATCTGCGACACACAGCAGAGTGCAGCAATAGGTATGCGTGTGAGTCCTAGTTTCGATGCACCAAGCAAATGACCTACATGGGCGAGCCTCGTACATAAATGTGCATATCGAAACGCGTCGACAAAGAAAAAACCACGCACCCCCAATCCTGGATTGAAGGTAACATCGGCAAAGAGATATTCGGATGCTTCCTTGTAGATCTCCGTTCTACGGCTTGCAGTTTCGTTCCAATGGGGGCCTTTGGCCAGCGTTTTCCGTTGCTTCGCACCTGTTTTTAAGAGTGTACTGACAACTGCGGGCCAAATAAAACTTGCATGAGATGTCCTTGGCGCTCCCGAGTTTTCTTCACATGACGATCTTCGAGCGAAGCGCAGAGAGAATGCGCTCAGTTGTTCTCTTTTTGCCTTCTTTAGGATGGTTCTGGGCTCCCCGTCCGGCGCACATGAACACGCCATGGAGCCGTGCCCTTATCAACAGGTAGCCAGCGACATAGCAGCCTCCCCGTCTCTCCTTTTCTTCAGTTCGGTTTAATTCTGCTCTATTATCCAAACGCTTTATATGTGCACACATCCTCCTGATGCCACTAACAAGGAAACTGACAATCGCTAAAAGCAACGATGGTGGGCTCACCATCTACGTGTATGAAGGAGCCGCCACTGGCCCAGCCGCATCAAAACCCAGTGAGATCCTGGGGCTGGCGTATACGCTCTACCGTGATAGAGACAGACTGCACATCAGCAGAGGGCTAGACATGCACGGCAGCAAAGCGACCATGATCGCCAATGTCAACGGCTTCGAGGGCGTGACGGCAAAGATAAACGCTGGCGCGCAGACATTCGTCTCAACGCGCCGTGTCAGCAGTCTGCCATGGAAATTCACCGATGAGTCGCAGCAGAAATTCAAATGGCACGTGACATCGCAGGGCCGGTACTGGGACCTACGCGCCAAGGGTGGCAGCAACGCCGCGACATTCACAAACAACGGGCCGTTTGAAGAGACGCTTGGGGTGCTGGAATTCACCAGAGGCGCTAGCGAGTCATTTACACAGCTTACACTGCTAACGTGGAACCTTACCAGACAATCGCTCAACGATCAGCGCCAGCAAAAAGGCGCCAATCACTCGCCCAATACGACGAATGCCTGGTTCATTGACGGGTTTTACGGCAGCGACGGCAGCGGCCATTCCAATAGCCAGCACGGGTGGTACACCTCGGGTGGTGGACACCACCATGGTGATCACGGCGGCGATTGTGGTGGAGGCCATAGCGGTGGTGGTGGCGATTGCGGCGGTGGTGGTGGTGGTGGTGGCGGTGACAGCGGCGGCGGCAGCGGTAACTAGCAATGCCAGGCCATTGCTTCCATATCGTCTTTATCGCTACCCTGTTGTGTATTTAGTTAAATTCTCCTATGTCAAAACGAGTCTTGCAGTGACGTGTAGCGAAGAAAGATTTCCCCGGGCTCGGTGTTCATCGGCCATTTTCTGTGGATCAGCCGTGTGTGCTAAAAATATTATCTGAGCACCGTCTCTTGCCGATTATCGGCAGACCATTGCTCGTTTAAGCTTTGAGTGTGCATGTTTGCACAGGCCTTGGTTGTTGGCACAGTCCTGACCAACACACATCACGTGCAACATTGAGTGGTCCACAGTTGGACTTTTACAAACCCCTTGTCCTCAGGTCCGGTCTGCCCAGTAAAGACAGCCTCTCGGAGTAGCCTCTGCCACACTCTCGTCTCCTTCAGCTGTTTGTGCTTGGCTCCTCAGTCTATATCTCTTATTTCTAGGCGCCCTCTCACAGCACCATGCCAGCCAAAACTGCAACGCTCAAAGCCAAGGGGCTCATCTTTGATCTCGACGGCACCCTGATCAGCACCCTGGAGGTTACAGAGAAGATATACACAAAGCACGCCGCTAAATACAACATTGACCCGGCGCCCATCCTTGCCCATTGCCATGGGGTGCCGACACAGGAGGTGCTGAAGAAGTTCTATCCTACCGAGATGCACACGGTTGAGAAGGCACTGGAGCTCGAGAAGGAGGCTGCTGAGATTCTCGACGGGGTGAGGGTAATTCCAGGTGCGTCAGAGCTGCTGGCGTCGCTGCCGGCCGAGCGCTGGTCGATTTTCACCTCCGGCCTGCCACTTCTGGCGCACCCGCGCATGAGGCGCTTGCAGCTGCCCATCCCCAGTGTGTTTATTACGCCGCTCGACATTACCAATGGAAAACCCCATCCCGAGGGATACATTCGCGCCGCCAAGGACCTAGGGTTCAATGCCAAGGACTGCATCGTATTTGAGGACGCGCATGCAGGCACCAAGGCCGGCCATGATTCGGGTGCCACCGTCATTGGTATCCGGACGCTGCTCTCGGAAGCGCAGCTCAAGGAGGCCGGTGCCGACTATACGGTCCGGGACATGTCCAGGGTGTCTGTGTGCGTCGACCAGACCACAGGCGACCTAACTATCACACTCAACGAGGAGTAAAGCAAGAAAGTGCTTTATCAATTAGACGGAATAAATGAGCAGTGTTTTCGTATTTCCAGCATGCAATTGCCAGCTCCGCCTTCTAATGAACCCACTCGCTCCGGATCAGGATCGGATCTGGCGATCAACAGCCCGAAAAACGCGCAGCCAGCCTCAGGTCCTCCTTTTCTAGCTGCTGGGCTCCAACAACAGCACAGCTCGGCCAGCACCAACTCTACCCTCTAATAAACATTCCTCCTCGGTGCCTTCTCGATTTGACCCCAAATTCTGCTTTTCCATTGTACAGCTTCCGTTCAATTCTTGTGGCCTTTGCTACCTAGCTCACAACATTCAAATGCTTTCAGGCATGCCAGCCGCTGTGCAGCAGATTCCAAACCGGCGTCTGTTCAGGCCATTTGTGTCGCCGTCAAGAAGTAAGCCTGCCGGTGAAGCGACGGCAAAGCACCCAGCACGATCGTTGAAGCGCGTCTTTTCTGTGCGCAAATCCGCAGTCGCATCGTCTACCAACCACCTGTTGCCCAGCAAGCGCAGGCGAGTGTCAGAGAGCAACAGTGGGGAAGATGACGGCGGTGAGACAGCCAAGGAGGACGACTGTATACCGGGGGTGAACTATAACGGCATGTCGAGGAAGCTTTTCAAACCGTTCAGACCACCCAAGGCTATTCGGCCCGTGTCAGCCGACCAAGAAGATGCTGCGGGTAACAGCATGTGTGACCAGCAAAATACCAGATTTAGTATGGGCCGGGGCTCGCTGGGTGTCAGACGCAGGAAGGTAGTGCCACGTGGCCCGCGATACAGCGCCGACACAGAAGATGCCGTAGTGCTATATAGACCGGGGACTGGGGCCGATGGAGCAGAATCACAGCAGTCTTCAACGTCGTCGCAATCAGGGGACAGTGCGGCAACGCTTGTGCCGATTGCAAACCGTAACAAGTCACTGAAGAGCCTTTTGGGTGAAGGCGGCGAAAGCAGTGCAGCGTTAAAGGAAGTGCCGGTGGTAGTTGACCCAGCGCTGGGCCGTAAGCTGCGTCCGCACCAAGTTGAGGGAGTGAAGTTCCTGTTCAACTGCACAACTGGACGCATCTACAAGAACGCGTTCGGGTGTATCATGGCCGACGAGATGGGTCTTGGCAAGACTCTGCAGTGCATCGCACTGCTGTGGACGCTGCTGCAGCAGTCACCGACGCCTGGAAAGCCAACGATCGAAAAGTGCGTGGTTGCGTGCCCAAGCAGCTTGGTCAAGAACTGGGCTAACGAGATTGTAAAGTGGCTCGGGTCGACCAAGATTGCGCCGCTGGCTTGCGATAACAAAGGCACGAAGGAGAAGGTCACCCGCAGTCTGGAGCAGTTTATCGGCGCGCGTGGCCGCATGATCATCCACCCGGTTCTGATTATCTCGTACGAGACCCTGCGCACATACATTAATGTGCTGTCCAGGGGCCCCATCGGCTTGCTGCTGTGTGATGAGGGGCACAGGCTCAAGAACTCGGCTTCGCAGACATTCCAGGCGCTGGATTCGCTCAAGGTCGAGAGGCGTGTGATTTTGTCGGGCACCCCTATCCAGAACGACCTGTCCGAGTATTTTTCGCTGCTCAATTTCACCAACCCAGGGCTGCTGGGCTCGACACAAGAGTTCCGCAAAAAGTACGAGCTGCCCATTCTGCGTGGGCGCGACGCCCTTGCCACCGACAGCGAGCAGAAGAGAGGCGACGAAATGCTGGCTGAGCTCAATGCCATTGCCAGCAAGGTCATCATCCGTCGCACCAACGACCTGCTGTCCAAGTACCTTCCAGTCAAATACGAGCACGTTGTGTTCTGTCCACTGACTGAGCTGCAGACCGATCTGTACGAGCTGTTCCTGAAGTCAAAGGAGGCGCGCGCTGCGATTGGTGAAGGTGGCAAATGCGCGCTGCAGACAATCATCAATCTAGGCAAACTATGTAACCACCCAAGCCTGATTGATATCACTAAGCATGTCCAGGGATACCAGGCGGTGACACCCAAGGAGTATTTCACCGACAGATTGCAACCCGTGTCCAGGAGTGGTGGTATTGGGCGACGTGGTGCAGCGATCCGCGGAATGCAGATGATGCAGCAAGGCGACAGCTCTTCGGCCAACCAGCCGTTCCATCCCAGGTGGTCCAGCAAAATGGCGTTGCTCGACCGTATGTTGCAGCAGATTAGTCGGGGGCGCGAGAAGGACAAGATTGTGCTGATTTCAAACTACACGCAGACACTAAACCTGTTTGAGGAACTGTGCAAGGGGCGCGGGTTCGGCTACTACCGCCTCGACGGCTCTATGACGATCCCTAAGCGGCAGCAGATTGTTGACCAGTTCAACAACCCAAATGACCCTGCTTTCGTCTTCTTGCTTTCGTCCAAGGCGGGCGGCTGCGGAATCAACCTGGTCGGTGCCAACCGGCTGGTCTTGTTTGACAGCAGCTTCAACCCGGCAGACAATCTTCAGGCGTGCGGGCGAATCTGGCGCGATGGGCAAAAGAAGACTTGCTATATTTATACCATGGCTACTACCGGCACAGTCGAAGAGAAGATTTTCCAGCGGCAGGCATACAAGACGTCGCTGGCCACCTGTGTCGTGGATGAGCAGGAGAACGTTGACCGGCACTTTTCGCGTGACCAGATGCGCCAGCTGTTCAAGGCCAGGCTGCGTGGCGAGACTATGTGTGATACGCATGACCAGTTCAAGTGCCGGAGATGCGTACATGGAAGGCAGGCGATCAAGGCGTCAGAGAATATGGACTTTGCGGACCACAATTCATGGGAGCATTTCGGCCAAACCGATGCACCCAAGCTACAAGACCAGCTATTGCGCTCATGCATGGGCAAGGATGTATCATTTGTGTTCCAGTACAAGTCGCATTGAATATGTTATATGTCAAGCTAATAAACTAATTTCTGGTGAGGAATCGTATACAACCAGTGGTTGGATGCATGGACTGCGTTAGCATTAATGCTGGCCCAGCAGACACTTTTATATAGACAGTAGATATTCGGCAACAATGGCAAGCAAGCGTGGATGAATGTCCATATGCTTCGCATAATGATATTACTGATGGCTGGACCAGCATAAGAGGGCCATGTGTAATATTGGTGATACCCATAGACCTGATTTCACATGCAGCCTGCTTGTTTAGGAAAGCGCTGCAACAATACTGCGCAGCACTTGGCAGATCGTGTGAACTGAGATTCCGCAGCCGTACGAGCCAAGATTCCGCATTTGTGCAACAGTCGAGTCTGCCACACATCTTTTGTCCACTGGAGCTGGTGCTCTCAACAGCACCGACGGGAAATTGTGACCAACAGCATCCCCCGAAAGGCTTTCTGTCACCTTGCAAATATTTAAATATCCAGTCATCGAGATGTGAGGGGCCATAAAACCTGTAGGAATTTGTAATCCAAAGAAGGAAAAAAAGAAAGTAGCGTGATTTCAGAATCAGGTTGTGTGAATATTTACAATGTGTATTACTGGCAGGCTAAGGACTCGGCTCCCCTATATAATGTCGGCCAAGCCCTACATACTGTCGGCCGAGCTTCACTGAGCTCCGATACAAATTCCCGAAAAACTGCACTGTATGAACCTATCCCCTGCTTATTCGCAGGTATTGCTGCTGTATTTACATCTGTCCGTATTGTCATCGCCGGCCGATTATCTTGCTTGCTTACTAACACGGAGCCACGTTCTTTTTAGAGGGTCTACAGGCACATGCTTCACTGGGCTTTAGTAGGTCGCCTTTTCTTTCACATTTCATATATTTTCTATTCTTTTTCTGGTCGTAATCTTTGATAGTGACCATGGCATTCTATTTCAACCACGGCAGCACGGTCGACCAGATTGATGACTACAGGCCAGTGCCCATCGAGAAAACACTGATGTCGCCAGCTAATGAAAGCGACCACACGCAAAAGCAATCATTGGTGAATGCAAAGCGTGCCTGGCGTGAATGCAAAGTCTCCAACATGTTCAAGTATCCATATTCGCCTCAGCTGGACCAGCGAGAACCACAGCCGACAAACCTGTACTCTGAGATGTACAATGCCAGCGACTTGATATTCAACGACGCAGGCCAAGTGACGTACGGAACATGGCGCGCATTGGTTATCTATCTAACGCAGCCTGAAAACAACATGGAGTTTATGCGTGTTTTCTTTATCGGGTTCCGACTGTTCGCATCGCCGAGGGGACTGGCAGAGGCATTGGCTATGCGGGCACATCTGCCACCGCCAGAAACCGAGTCAGTGTCAGTGCTACGGGCATGGAGAGAGCGCACCTTAAGGCCGATCCAGCACAAGGTCCTCCAGGCAATCAAGTACTGGCTCAGCCATGCCTGGTGCCATGAGCAAGATCCGTCGTGCTTGCCGATTCTGATGCGACTCTTGGCATCTGAGAAACGCAACTCCAGGTATCCACTGCCACAGCGCGAGTGTCTAAAGCTCATGTGTCGTATCAACGAACTGTACCGGGATGAGGCGCCAGGTATCAAGTCGATGCGATCGCTGGCAGTACCTGTGCCGACTCGTGAGACTAGTATTTCACAGACGCCACCGGAGCAGCCACAGCTATCATATGCTGAGGACACGGATAGGGGATATAGCAACGGCGAGCTTTTGTCGGCTGTCGACTCGAGTTGCTGCAGAAGCAAGCGCAAGCGCCTGCTGACGAGGCTGTTTACACACCACAAGAGCAGCAACAATAAGCGGACAGTTCCCGGTGGTGTGGCGATGCACCGTGCCCAGTCACCAAGGGTCATTGACCAGCACTCTGACTGAGTCAAACCCCGAGCACCCAACTGAAGCAGCAAGAGGCCGACCCGGTGCTTGGTATCTCTGAGCTTCTGATGGCTACAGTTGGAGAGGATCTGTCTGTGGAGGCGTACCGGTCTTCCAATATCCTGCAGGTGTCGCCGATGGATGTAGCATGCCAGCTAACGATCATCGAGAGCTCGTGCTTTTGCCAGATCCAGCCGATGGAGCTGGTTAACAAGGAGTTTAGCCATGGTGAAACGTCGCTAGCCGTCAACGTGCGGCAGATGACAAAATGGTCGACGCAGATTTCGCGATGGGCTTCTGCTGTGATTCTGTCGGACCACCACAGAGCGGCGGTGTCGGGCACTCAAATACTTTATCCAGCTTGGAACACAGTGCCTGGCGCTGAAGAACTACGACGCGGTCATGGCAATC